TATTAATATATGCATGGAAAGATGCCAGGAATAATGTTGACAGTGGCTATTTCTGGGTAGTGGGATTGGTTTGATTGTTCACTTCAATTTTTCACTCGTCTGCATTAGTACCTGCCTCACAGGGCTGGGGGGAATATGAAAAGATGATACAGAAACATGCTTATCATAGTGCCTGGCATGGGAAGCTTTAAAAAGTAGAATACTGGAGTCTGCTATAAGCGATCTTGATTAGTGAAACCAGGCTGAAACCTGAGAATCTGTCATTTTTCAGCTTGCTAGTGAGATGGATCTGAGAATCACAGAAGGTGCTCAATGAATACTTGCTGCACTGAAGCAAGTTGAAAGCACATGGTAACGAGCCATTGTGAAGGAGCCAGTCACAGTGGTGGTAAACCCCTGAAGCAAGAAACCGCTAAGAGGAAATCCCATTCAGGGCAAGGAAAATGACCAAAGACCAGGAGGGGAGAGTGTCCAGTTGAATTGTTCATACATTCATCCTCAAAGAACTGGACCCCTGCTCTCTCCAAACAGGTTGGCAACTCTGAGCATTACACTGATGAGGCTGGGACAGAGACTATTAGCACGAGGAACAATTTTCCTTCTCATGGCTGTATGTCTACATAATCCTGGGTTTGCATGTCTAAAAAACTGTAAATTACTCAACTATTTGCCCTTTTACATTGAGATTTTTCCCATAATTAAAGGAATATATATTTATTATCAAAAAAAATCTTAGAAACTACAGAAGCAGCAGAAAGAAAACAAAATAACATCCAGAGACATATCACTTAAAGATGATCTGTGAGTATTTTGGAATGTTTTTTAATCAGTCACAGATATTCCACATACATTTTCTATGTTATCACTAATTCTTTGTGGAAATCATTGTTCCTGGTGTACATTCTACTGTGTGCATATGCTGTGACTCAATCTTTTTCTATTGTTAGGCATTTATACTATTCTTATAAATAATGATACCATGGCTATCTTTGTAGATAATGTATTTTCTATATGTGAAAGTATTTCTTCAGGAAAAACTCATAGAAGAGGAATTACCACGCCAAAAGATATTGAAATCTTTAGCT